TTTTTTTTTTTTTTTTAATGGCTACAGAGTTAATTATGCAAAGTGCCTTGGTATAATTAACTCCTTGTGAGGTCACATTGCTTACTGTATGCCTGTTCCACATTCAGCAACTTCTTCCAGGTTGACAGATAGTGTGGGTGAAGTTCAAAGATTAAAAATGTGGTTTGGTTGGAAGAAGCTGAGACAGTTTTATTTAAATGCCAATTTGTTTTTGTAAATATGTGCAGTTAGCAGCAAATTGAATTGGCTTTGCTTATTTAAATGAAGGCAAAGTTGTTTTTTTATAGTTTGGAGTTTCCTTGTTTTCCATAAAAACCCAGTGAAAATGCTCACAAGAGGCTGATACTAATATATTTAAACAATTAAGGTTTATGGTCTGTCATCAATCAGTATTGTCATGCACAACTAAAAAGTTGAATTAATGGTTACCAGTTTTGATTTATGTGCTCTTTAATTTAATATTAATTTTACTGTAAGATGTTATGTGTGTTTTGTTATAAATCTGATTTAAATGTCAAATTGAAAAAGCAAAATATTAATTATGAACAAAATATTGTCTAATTAGTAGCAGTTTCACAGACAAAAACTCAAATAAAGAATAATAGTATCAAAGCTATTGATATCCTATTTAATTTAAGTGGTGAATGCTGTATATCAGCGTGGGAGCTAAGCCATCATCCATCAACAAGTATTCTGATCAGGGTGTAAATAAAAAAAAAAGTCCTATCCAAAAGGGTTAAAACTGGGCTGAGTTTAAGCTTTGACCCTTTTGAAGAAGCAGTTTGATGTAATGAGCTGTTGGTCATGGGACCTGGTCTCACTCACAGTTTCAAAGTAGAGCAGAGTTTTACTGTGTTTAGTCAGACAATACTCACTGCAACATTTAGTAATTTTTAAACACTTGTTTAAGCTAACCTATCCATATTCTTATGCTATATTAAACCATGCTGAGTGTTACTCTGTCTTTTACTTTGTGTCTGGCCTGCTGGAATAAAGCAGGGTCAATCTCCTCAGTTTCCCCTGAGGCTAAGTACCTTTGGCCACTGGCCAGCTACAGTGTGAAAGTACCTTCAGATGAACTTGGTTATCTCAATGCGTGCGCCATCTAATTCCATCCCCTGGCCTGGCCACATTAATCATTGCTGTGTGCAGACCCTATAAAACAGTGTGCCGGCTATTTCCGTACCCCCTCGCTCACTTCAACTCTCACTTCTCCATCCAACCCCCACCACCCCTCCTTTTCTCTTTCTCTCGCTATCTCTTTGAAGGAGCCTCCCTGAGCCGTTGATGACCTATGGACTTTACAAAGAGTTTATTAGCCCTGCGAGTAAGTTTGACCACCTCTTATACCACCTCTTAGTCTGAATACAGACCGTAATCAAACAGTAGTGTATAAACATGTGTATCAGTCTGCAATTTAATCATGTGAGGCACTGTAGTCCAATGCTTTGTTCTTCTTCAGTGAATTATTGAAAACCTGCAGTCAGGTGAAAAACAGTTAAATTGCTTTTTACTAACTTTTTGTAAACTTTTTTACCAATTCTTTTAAATAGGTAATAGCGGTCAACCCTCTTAAGTAAATGTTTCATAGTCTGAAGGCTGTTGTACTGTTTGTGTTTTGAATTCTAATTGGGGTGTATCTACAGTAAATGTTCATCTTTAGACTTACCTTTATGTCTAATCGCTTCTTGTCAGAAATGTGTTACTGTCTATACTCACTAACAAGTGTGGTAGTAAATCACACCATCTGAGCACACTCTTGTCCTGTTTTTGTTAAGAAATGTGAATATATATATTTGTTTTTTACTTCCATTGAATACATCTGACCCACTCTGGTTGACCAAAAAAGTATTTCAGATGAGTTTTGCTTTGCACATTTTTGTCACTTCAGACTGTTTTACAACACTGCGTTTCTAATTTCTACCTTGTTTTAACTTGCTACTAAATATGTGTGGCCAAATAGGCAATCAAAGGTTAAAGCTAAAAGGTTTAGAATGATAGATATGGTGTAATTTGCATGCCCTCAAATGGTCCAGTGAGTGACCTTGAACAGCAAAAAGACACGTGGCTTTTTTTTTTTTCATTCACGCAGCATCATTTATGTATGAAATGTTTTTAAAGCAAGCCAAACTTGAATCGTATTACAACAAGTGCTATAATTGGATCAGGTTGACATTTTTATCAGGCGCTCGCAATGCCCTCATAACGAGGGGGGAAAAATGGATTAGCAATGAATATTTTTTTGATGGATGACAGCATCCATAAGAAGCTTTTTCCATGTTTAAATCCTTGTCGTTCCCATAGTAATGATATTTTGTGTGTGTGAGTGTGTGTGTGTGTGTGTGTGTTGCTGTGTGGGCGGTCAGATGCCCATGTGTGAGGAAATGTTTAAGAGATGATCTTGGGGGTTTTAACACAACCCTTTTATACGGTAGCGACAGTAACGTAAAGCTATCTCCTTCGCCAGCATAGTGGTCCCTGCTGCCAAATTCTGAGAGGCTTCAGACCATATATCACTATCACACCTCTTCTTCACTTACTTAAACTGGAATGTATCATCCTCCAACCCTTATACTTGAGGATGTTAGCCTCTGATCATTGTGTCCTTAAAGAGCCACTAACTTTTGCTCTATGTTTGATTGTCTAAAATGTATCCAAATAGTTTTTGTAAGACTTTTTTAGAAGTAATAGAGGGTTTAGTTCCACTAAATGACATTAGTCTGTTGTTTCTCTACCTCAAACTCTGAGTGTGCATTGCTCAAATCAACAGTGTAAGTTGTGTATTAAATTCTCTTTAAATTTGCTAATGTTGTACAGTTCTTGATCACAGCTGCATTGGCTCTTTGCCACCTGAGGAGCACAGAGAAATCCTTGTTTAATGTGAGTGCATGGCTGCTTCTGCATTTGAACAGAGGGCGGTAGTCCAGAGTCTCGCATCCAAGCCATCCACTGCCTGGTCCACAAACTACCGGAGAGGAATCGACAAGTCCTCGGGCTGCTTATGAAGCATCTGGCCAAGTGAGTGTTCATAGTTCCTTGGTCATAGTTCGCCCAATCTCCACCCCCTCTCTCTCAGTTCTCTCTTTCTGCTCTTCCTGTCTGTCTCCTCATTCTCACTCCACATGCTTTTTCTCTCTCTCTCTCTCCCTCACTCCCACTCTCTTCACTCCCCCTTCCCTGCTGTCACTCCATCCTCTCTGTCTACTCAGTGACTGCTGGGTAAGAAAATTGATGCTGCTAGCATAACATTTATTATGCCTTTTCTTAGGTCATTTAAGTGTACATTTAATGTCATTGAAGGGGGATTGTGTAGCCTACTGTACCTGTTCAGCATACTGTTGTGCAACCCACTGGGCTCAAGTGAAATTAAATGGACCTCTCAAATTAAGTCCTCTCTTGAGATTACTCTACACACCCCTGGATGGACCACTATTGTGCATCACTCCATTTGTGAGATTAGATAGGAAGAAAGATTTAAGAAATAATGTTAGCTAACATTACAAGGTTTTACCTCAGCAAGCTTTTTATAAACTAAATATGAGCAAATTGAAGATAAGTAAATAATCCCTCTTCCCTGAGGCAGTGAAAGTCTGGTGGATCTTATTTCATAGAAACCCGCTGCAGAATCAGGCTCTGGTAAAAAGGCAGCGCTATTGAAATTGAATTTGGATTATCCAGCGTGAAATTCTCCAGACTGGAGAGACTCGAATATTTTTCTGAAGTTGGCGTGTGTGCATGTCCTGCAGGGGAAAGAAGCAAAGCCAGAATTTCACACTGCTATCTGAAATGGTTTCAGAGATGTTATAAATGTGAGTTGTCACCAATGTTTTTGTCTTCAAAGGCATCCTTTGAAGCTATTTAAACTGTCTCTCTGCAGATGCACTGCATATCATCATATTTTGAGTGTGAAATCTCTTCACCTGTCTGTATAACTTTTATTTTTATTTTTTTCAAATAAAGGTTTTTTTTCTCCACTTTTATTGACCTAAGATAAAGTTTCATCTACTGAAAGTGTCTCGTTTTCAAAACGGATCTAGGACACGTTTAATAAAATGTGTTATTCCTCCATGTCAAAGGTTTTTACCTTGTTGTTGAGTCAGAATAGCCACTGCCAGAAGTATTAATAGTTGTTCTGTAAGTCTCGTTAGTGGCATATGTGTAACCTCAAAAAGTCTAGATATAAAACACTCTTATTTGTAATTTATTGTTCAGTGTAGAAAACTGTATAGGCCAAAATGTTCATGCATGACAAGTTCATATTTGGATTTAAGAGTATTGGCTAGGATTTGCTACAGCTTACTGTTCTGTGTTATGTAAAATGGCATAAGATGTGTTAAAATCCCTCATTTTTATTTGTCATTTCATATAAAAATGCAGTGACTGCTATGTATTCACAGTTCTCAATGCCTCTGTGATGTGTGAAAAAATAAGAAAGACAAAAAAAGGAAAAAGACCAAGAAAAGGTTTAAACTTAACCATCAAGACAGCATTGATTGATATGTAGATACTTGAGGGTTTCCTGCAGTTCTTTTTAGCAGTGATGGCCCTCTGTTGATATCATTGAGGGAAAAGAGCAGAGGAGCTGTTTCACAGCAAATGCCTTCATGTGTACTGAGTATGGCTGTTGTTTAAGCTGCCATCTACAAACAAAACTGATCACGAGACGAGATGCTTCGAGATCTGGTGCCTTACCACCTCTTCTAAACTGTTTGCATAAAGAAAACTTGTACTGTATGTCATGAGTCTTTCTCAGACAGTAGCCGAGCCATAGTTATCATTTCCCACTATGTTTGGCTTCCTTTTCTTGTTTGCTCATTTGCTTAACTTTTCATTTGATTTTCTGAAACTCTTTTGTTTTTTTAAATAGTAATTAAGAGGTACAGTACAGTACCTTTTTATGTGGTGTTCATTGTTAACCAGAACATCAAGAATGAGGTGGAATCAGAGGTTTCTGTTTCTCACTTTAGTACAGTCATATTTGGTTCTAAAAGTTATTAGTTAGTTAGTTGGAGTATAATGTGTATAATGTGAATTGTTTTCTTCTACAGTGTGGCAGCTAACAGTAAACAGAATCTGATGACCGTGGCAAACCTAGGCGTGGTGTTTGGCCCCACGTTAATGAGGCCGCAGGAGGAGACTGTCGCTGCCATCATGGATCTTAAGTTCCAGAACATTGTGGTTGAAATCCTTATTGAACACCATGAAAAGGTAACACTCAGGACTGGGATTTACCAGACCACAGTGCATTATCAACTGTACTATCACAATATAAAACACTTGAAACTAAACACTCCCTGAAAACTGGAAGTGTTTACTCATAGCACAAGATCTTCCAGTGGAAATAATTATAGAAGAATAGAGAAACAGTCCTTCTATTGTATTATGTTCTATTGTCTCCCAAAATGCCTGGTTTTGATTGGTCAAATATCTACTGCACTGATTAATTACATGATTTATTCTGTCAGTGCAAAATTTTGTGTATAATTGATTCCACTTGCCATCGAGAAGTATATTAGTTAAAGGTTGGGAGCCCTTGGCAACACAAGGTATAATCATAGCAACAAATGAAATCTGAATCAGGTGACATGACATCAGTAAGCTGCACACAGCATCTTTGTGTTTACCAACCTGGGTGGCGTGTATTTACTTGATACTGAAGGTTAATAAATGTGCAAGCGAAGCAAAAGATCTGATGTTCGTAAGTCCGGGTTTCTTGGCACTCAGAGCTTTCTTACTATTGTTTTAAAGTTTTGTATTTTGCTCTTAAGTTTCGATTTGGCACTTTCTGTTGGCAGAGAAGTGCACATACTGTACTGTACCTGACACCAGAATTCCATTTGGGGAAGAGTAAGTGTCTCAATTAGGGTGACTGTGATGCTCTTCTCTTCTGTAAGTCCTGTTTGTTTTCAGGATTTTCAGACTGGTGTATATTCACATAAAAATCTTGCCTAATCCACCTGAAAGTCTGCTTGTTTGAGCAAATGTTCTAGCAATGAAAATGCATCATATTAAATAATGGGTACTTTGTGGTCTGTTTGGATATATGTGTTTTGTATTTATTGCTTGCTCTACAAAATAATGAACAGGAATAAAGTTCTCAGATAATGAAACATGTAGCAACTTAAACTCCTGGGACAGCGTACCCTTCACCCTATTATTAATGTACAGAGGTGTTAGACAGCAGTTTAATATCCAGAGTTTTTTTATCTGGCCAATAGGGGGAGCCCCAAGTGCTCATACCAGGATTAAACACATGGTATTCTCTTCATTTTCAGAAGGTTGATTATTCTGTAGATATCATATACATTTTATTACATTTGGAAGGTCCTTTTCCTGCCTACATACATTTCTTGTGGTTATGGCTTGTTTCATAACCTGTAGTTCATGAGATCATGTAATCGCCCCAGAATGTCATTAATCAGTGTCAATCCTCAAAGGGGGATAATTGTTGTTGAGAAAAAGGTTCGAGATTAGTGTTCTAATCTGTTTGGAGCAGCACTGCACTCTGCATAGAATCAGATAGAACTGGGAGCTTTTAGTGATTTTATTTTTCCTCCAGCTTCATTAAGTGGAAGATGATGTGTGTTGTGACTAATGTCTCCACCCAAGCTCACAAATCTAAAATGGGGTGTGAGAGAATACAGAGGCCTGGTGAAAACCAATAGGGTATACAAATGTGCTAAAACAACACCAGCAGCACAGTGTATACCGCTCGTCTCTGAGACTACCCAGAGGTATCCAACACCGTCCAGGTGATAAAGGATGTAGTGTTAGAATGCAGCAAGAGCATTTTGGAAAGTACAGCGTGTTAGAGCAGGGGAAAAGTTGAGCAGACAGACAGACAGGCATTAACTTCCCTCACAGCTTAGTCCCACTCTAGACTGTTGATACCCCCAGATACCAACAGTAGACTCTGTTTTACATTCACCTCCATCTGCAGAGAGAGGCGAGAGGGAGAGAGGGAGGCAGCAGAAACTCTCAGCCATATCAGATTTCTCACTTTTTCTATCTGCCTTTCTCCAACAAACTTTCTCTCTCATGCCCCCTCCTCTGTGTCTGCCTCTCCCGTTCACACTCTGTCTCACTTTTTCTGCCACTTTCTCTCTCTCTCTCTCCCTTCCCTACCTCCCCTCCACTCCTCGTCTGTGATCCTTTTCGGAGGCTCTGCTGAGACTTCCTCTCCTCTGCAGCCCTATTCTCTTTTAACTCTACATCTGAAGTTTATATGTAAACACGGCCCGGTGTAAACAGGCTGCGCCAGTTGGCCAGCCCTCCTGCAGTCCAAACCCTGTTTATTTTCCCCTCCACTCTTTTTAGAGAGTGGGTCAGTTTCTCTGAGGAGAAATGTCACCTTAACTTAGACCCAGATTTCTAGACGGGATGTGATTGCATTACATGTGGAGCTGCTCTTGTTTATTTTGGCACAAACAAAATCTTCTCACATGCAGTTTTTAGGGGTCCAATCAATGAGCTGCTCAGCTTTCCCTAGGAGCACATGCTGTGGCTGCAAATGGCCTTTTCCATTCATCTACCACTATATAAAGCCTTTCAAAACCCGTTCACTAACTGAGGTCATTTGAGGACATGCTGCTGCTGCTGCTCAACATTCTCTGAGTATCTGCACTGTGACTTTTTTTTCTTGGTGGAGACTTATTCATATCGTGTATTCAGATCTTTGCAGATGCTCCCGAGTCATGCCCTCTTTCACCTGCTGCCCCAGTATTCTCTGCTCCCACAAGGCAGTCCAAGAAGCTGAGTCGACAGAATCGGCCCCTGGCTGTCTACAATCCACAAGCCCTAGACATTCAGAATGGTAAGAGACATACACATGTGCACCTGTATAATTTCAAACCTCTGAAAATATTAAAGGCACTGAGTATACATTATATCGTCTCACAGAATTATGATTGCACTAATTAGTAATTCATGCTCCCAAATTAACACTTGTTTGTAAGAAGTAGGTTTTCATTGTTAATGATTTGTTCACTTGTTCACACTCATCTTCCAGGAACAGATGTTATCCTGTCTGTATGTCTGTTTAAAAAATGTGAAAGATAACATAACATTATCTGCAATCAGGTTAATTTTTTTATCCTGACATTGTGTCCCTGCCCATTCTTATTGGTAGTTTGTTTTGTTTTGCCATAATCAGTCAGTCGCAAGTGACATATTCATCCCACAGATGTCATCTTGAGTCAATACAGAAGCTGCAGTAGCAGTTGCCAGGAGCAGTTAGCATACCTTTTTCACTAAGATCAAAGCTGTTACAGTTAGTAAGTCGATTAACAAGAGCTTGTATGTCACACTATTTTTCATGAATGTAGCTAGTTCCCTGGAGAGTTATGAAGCTAGCTAGATAGCTTATTTTGGACAAGGCTAAAGACTATCATCACCTATCTCAGTCCAACATCAAAATAAAACTATACTATACTATACTCTACTATACTAATATTGAACTGCAATGTATTAAATGCAATTTGCCCATTTAAATTGTCCTTGACCTGACTTGATTTTGCACAGTGTGTGCCATAGTGTTTAGTATTTGTGATGCTACCAGTGGGGGCCGCCAGAGTTTGACATTTTCAAATCCCACGCAAAGTTAGGGCAATTCAAGAGTTTTAATTGCTTATTTGTGTTCACAAGTTGTTCATTTTAATTCAAATTGAATTGTAATTAAATTACATATAAAAAACTTTTGTGTACCAATTATTAAAATACATTCAGTTGCCAGTTTATCTGATATACCTAATTATCCTACAAATTTACCATACAGTTGAGTCAACACGTCTCTAAAACAAAAACTGAACATTATAACCTTTTGTGAAGGTTGGATTTATTGCAGGGCTGTTGTAGCAGACTGCAGTACTGTACTTAAGCCTGGTGTACCTAATAATATGACAACTTAGTGTATTTGACCCTGATTCCTACTCTGCTCTGAATCCATTCACTCACTTGTTAGTCTGTCTGGTCCCTAGTCACCACTAAGAACCAAAGCGGTGGCTACAGATGACACACTGAACTCAGCTGCACCCTCTCTGTAATGCTGTGTGGAGAGATTTGCATCTATGACTTTGTCTGCCCTTGTTTACTTTAAAATGCTTAAAATTCACTTCAGCTTTCTGAGACACTTGATGCAAATGGAGACAATGATAAGGGCCCTCTCCTGTGCATCAGGTGAGCTGATCACCTGACCTGATGACCCAAACAATCTAACTCCAGAAATTTCTGATCTGGGGCCAGCCAAATCCCTTCCCCTCCACAATTCCAAAGGAATCTAAATCTGCTTACCAGATTGCCTCTCTTTACCTCCCTCACGCCAGCTTTTATCGTGGGGTATTTTAATATCAGGGATGAAAGGCATAATCCTTTTTTAACCTTTGTGTCTTTTATATGAGTCCCACATAATGGTTTTAAAGTTGTCTCAGCATTCAGTGGGTAAAAGCAAATTTAAGGACAATGAAGTTAGAAAGAGGGAAGAGTGGTTATGTATGCATGTCAGTCTACCTGTGACGCTGAATGGGTCCAATACTCCTGCAGACGTGACAGCATGTATAGACAAGTGCATTAATCAGAGTAGAAGTACAAATAATATTAATTAATACATTAATATTAAGTATTAAGATTTCAGATCAGTTATATATGTATTGATTATTGTAAACACTACATTTACATGTTATCACTATTTAAGATAACTTGTTAGCAAATAGTTGCTAATTTACTTATTCGGCAGTAACGGAGCAACAGTATCATTATTAGAGTCATGTTTCTGGCCCCTTGGAGAATGTAACTCCAATATTTAATTTCTTTTAGCTCTGTTTTTGGTTTCTACCAACTCCTGACAGAAATACCTGGCTCTTGGGCTCCCCGGTATTCACCAGCTAGTGGATAACTGTGTCTGTTTCTGCTCAAAACAGCTGCCTGCCACAGTCCAAAATGATGAGAGCAGTGAAAGTTAATTCTTTGTTCATTTATCACTCTGAGTGTTGTTACATTGTTACTTTTGTAAGGCAGCACCACGCAGTATTTGATACGTGGTTGTTAAAAAAATATCAATTCTAGCCACTTTAAATTTTCATATGCATTCAATATGCTAAAAGATTGAGCTGAATTTTTATTCAACTAGAAACAGCAGAACAAAGTATTAACAAGTTGGCAGAGGCTTACTAGTGAAAAATAGGGATGCCTAAAAAAATACCTAAAGCATGAAAATGGTAACAGATTTGACTTTTCCAGAAAGAGCTACAAACCATAAAAACAAACAAAAAGATACAAAACCGGGTCCTACTGCTTGATTCCACCAGGCACCGGTGCTGATCACACCTAGTCTATTTTTTACAGAAGCTCTGCACAGAGCAGAGTTAGACATAAGAACGTCTGAACCCCAGCCTATGGCTGCCCACCACTGCTAATGTATATAGGATGGGTCAAATGCA